CTTACTAGGGTTGCTGGGAGTTGCATGTGGATCAACAAAATCTGGAGGTCTATATTTTGCCCCAGATGGTCTACTGGCAGCAATACTCCAGGTTTTCATAAAGAAGCCATTCCCAGAGTTTGGAAAAGTTTCATTTTTGGATTTACAATGCCCAAAATCCCCCAATCAGCATATTGGCCACACTGTCTGGGCAAATATGGAAACTGTAGTATATAAAGATTATTTGCTCCATTACTGGTCATTTCCAACATTATATAAGGATTCTATAAGGATTAAACCTAGGACTTTTCCATATAAATTAGAGCCTTTTCCCAAAAGAAACCAATGCTTTCAATTTATTTTTAATTATTATACATCTCCATATTATAATATAATGAAAATCAATTGGCCACATTCATGAACAATCTCAGATTAGAATACTGTGTCATTAGTTACTCACAGTCCAGCTGATATCCAAAACTTGAGCTCATAAATAGAGAATGCACAGGGAAGAATTCTGTAAAAGAAAATATAAGTCCCATCTGATCATAATCCTGAACCTCTTCTTTTAAAATTACATCTTTAAAAAGAAATATCTATCTATCTATTATGCCTATTCTGGAATCAGAACTAATTGATTTTAATTTAAGACAAAATTCTAAATGAGAAAAGTTTTGACTTTCAGTTTACCATCTCATTCTTCTCTAGCAGAGGAATTTATAGTGTCTGTTCAACAGTACAGTCCACTGAGTTCATGGATTTACTCCCTGCTAATTGGGTATAGGATTTTACCTTAAATTTCACTGGATGGATCAGTGTTATCACATACAAGTTATATATCTAAGGTTGTTTTTCAGCTAAGGGGAATTCTTCTTTTATTGCCAGCTTTCACTGTCAACTTGACATGTCCTGCATACAAGAAAGGACTTTGTTTGCCATCCTGAAGCAAGACATCAATTCAGAGATAATGGAGGCAGGAGGGGTTTCTGTGCAAACAATCATAGAATTACCATATTTTCCGGCGTATAAGATGACTGGGCATATAAGATGACCCCCCAACTTTTCCAGTTAAAGTATTGAGTTTGGGATATACTCACCCCTCTTCCAACGCACACCAAATAATTTTTTTTAAAAAATCAGATTTGATTTCAATATGGTAATTTTAATTCAAATGCTTATGACATGCAGGTACTTAGTAGGAAAACTGTCACTTATAAACACCACAAACTACAGCTCCCATGTTCCCTAGCATTTACTTCTGCAATATGTTTTGGACCTTACTTTTAAAAAATAGTCCAGATTTAAATACTGCTTTAAAAATTATTTCCATCTCCCAGCTATGAGATGGTTGGGGGGAAATGAGAAAGTGTTGGGGGGAAGGACTGTCAATATACTAGGTGATGCAACATGGGGTATGTACAATTTGTGGCCAAGTAAGTGACTCTGGGCATGTCACACACTCTCAGCCTTAGAGGGTGGTAATGGCAATCCCCATTTGAAGAAACATGCCAAGAAAACCCCATGATAAGGTTGCCTTAGGGTCACCATAAGTCAGAAAGGACTTGAAGACACATAAGAACCACAAAAAAGTCTGCAATTGTTTCATAGGTAGTACATAGGAATAGGAGCCAACATGGTGTAGTGGTTTGAGTGTTGGACTACCACTCTGGAGACCTGGGTTTGATTCCACACTCTGCCATGAAACCCACTGGGTGAACTTGGACAAGCCTCCTCTGAACAAGCCTTGCCAAGGAAACTCCAGGATAGGTTCATCTTTGAGTTGCCAGAAGTCAGGAACGACTTGAAGGCACACAACAACTACAACCACAACCACAATCTTTGGAAGTCACACTCTCTCAGACTCAGGGGAAAGCAATGACAAACCCT